CCAAAACGCATTGGAAGACGCGTTTCATTAAGGGCAAAGTTGGAAGAAAACCAGTTTTTCTGCAGGCTTCCCAGGCGCCTGGCGCCTCCCATGATGGTTTTTCCGTCTTTTTGCTTCTTTTGATTAATTTAAACTCCCAAATGGTCCTAAAATGTCATAAATACAATATAAGCCAACCACAAACCATAATATATGAATTTTGCATGAATTGGAACTCAAACGATCGAGAAAAATCCGAAACAAAGCTGAAACATTGTAAAAACAGCATCTAAAACCTTCTGTTTACGCATGTAAACAAGCGTAATCAAAGTCCAACACCCTTAGTTGGATTCTCTGGAGAATCGGTCTTCCCTGAAGGGTGTATCGACTTGCCGGTTACGATTGGGCAAGATAGTACACAAGTAACTCAGATGGCCGAGTTCGTGCTTATCGACGGCAGATTGGCCTACAATGCCATATTCGGGAGACCCATCATTCACTCATTCCGGGCCGTCCCCTTCACACTACATCAAGTCTTGAAGTACTCAACCCCGAATGGAGTGGGCATGGTCCGAGGTGAGCAAAAGACCTCGCGGGAATGTTATGCATCCGCGCTTAAAGGGTCAGCAGTATGCGCCCTGGAAGAACAAACCAATCGCGACAAGCTGCGAGAGTCCGAGGCCGACCTGCCTAAGGAAGGCAAAAGGCAGTTCTCCCCACCAACAGAAGAGCTTGAGCTTGTTCCTTTACTTAGCCCTGAAAAACAAGTAAGCATAGGAACCAAGCTGGGGGCCACTGACAGGGAGGAGTTGATCAACTTCCTCAGGTCTAACTCGGACGTCTTCGCATGGTCTCACGAGGACATGCCAGGCATCGACCCAAAGATCATGGTGCATCGCCTCAACATAGACCCATCATTCCGACCTATAAAGCAAAAGAGAAGACCTGTAAATAAGGAGAGGAGTGATGTAATTGTTTAGGAATTTAACAAACTTTTAAAGGCTGAATATATAAAAGAAATTCTGTATCCCGAGTGGCTTTCTAATGTCGTGTTAGTTAAAAAATCCAACGGGAAGTGGAGAATGTGTGTGGAATTCACAAATTTAAATAAGGCATGCCCAAAAGACTGCTTCCCTTTGCCAAGGATCGACCAGCTCGTGGATGCAACAGCCGGGCATGAACTGCTCACCTTCATGGATGCCTACTCCGGATACAACCAAATTAAAATGCACTTGCCAGACCAAGATCATACCGCGTTCATAACAGACCAAGGTCTGTACTGCTACAAGGTGATGCCTTTTGGCCTAAAGAATGCGGGTGCGACCTACCAAAGGATGGTGAATAAAATGTTTGCCAAGCAGATTGGTCGGAATATAGAAGTATATGTGGACGACATGCTTGTCAAGAGCAAGCAGTCAAAGTCGCATCTTTTCGATCTGATCGAAGCCTTTGGAGTACTGCGCAAGTACCAAATGAAGCTCAATCCGACCAAATGTGCCTTTGGAGTCTCCTCGGGAAAATTCCTTGGTTTTATGGTAAACAACCGTGGGATCGAAGCTAACCCAGAGAAGATAAAAGCCGTGCTCGAGGTGGAGGCACCCAAGACTCTAAAGCAGCTTCAGTGCCTCAATGGCAGGATTGCAGCCTTGAATAGGTTCCTGTCAAGATCAACGGACAAGTGCCTTCCTTTCTTCAAGGTTCTTAGGAAGAATGGACCATTCGAATGGATGGTGGAGTGTGAGCAAGCACTGGAGCAGTTAAAAAACTATCTCTGCTCGGCACCTCTACTCGCAAAACCATTGCCAGGAGAGAAGCTCCCTTGTATCTGGCAGTGTCTGATAGCGTCGTCAGCTCGGCCCTAGTCAAGCAGGAGGGCGCGTGCCAAAGTCCCGTTTATTACACTAGTAAGGCCATGACTGAGGCCGAGACCAGATATCCCTAAATGGAGAAGCTGGCCCTCGCTTTAGTCACATCGGCCCGAAGACTTAGGCCGTACTTCCAGGCACACACGGTTCTAGTACTTACAAACTTGCCCCTGAAGAATATCTTCGTTAGGCCCTAAACGTCAGGGCGTCTGAT